CATCATAAATTATCTAGCTTCTGGATAGGATCATATTTGGCCTGCTCCTGTTTTCCTCTCTGCTGCATTTCCTACTCTTGACTGACTGTAAATGCTATTTTGTAAGGAGCTTGGTACTCGCACATGTGTCCACTCATGTATTAGTCTATGTTTGGATGTCATCCAGTAGAAAGTTTAAATGAGAAGGGAAATTTTCAGTTGTTCTTGTTTCAATATGTTTCTCCATCATTGGGACAGAGATTCAGTCATTGACCCAGAAAGTCAAAACACGACACCTGAACTCAAGAATCATGCAATAGAAAATAGGTGCATCAACTGCAAAAAAAGATAACCTTTTTTTTTCTATCCTCTGTTCTTTTGGCTACTTAAGAGCTGGTGGTTTTAGTATTGTGTTTGGATCTGGTTCTACAGATGCCTCAAACACTTCATGCACAGCAATTTTTTACTTTTACCATGCAACGTCAGTGAATAGTGAAAAAGACAAAATTTTTCACTGTGTGGAGGATAAAGGAAGATGCCTGAAAAATTTTATTATCCATATGAATAAAAACTGAGCTTTTTAATATGAGCTTTCTAAGGCCTTGAGAAACCTGGTCTAGTAGAAGGTGTCCCTGCCCATGGCAGGGAGTGTGGTGGAGACTAGACAATCTTTAAGGTCCCTTTCAACCCTGAACATTCTGTGATTCTATGATCATATTGCAAAACCAGTGAATATTTTTGACCTGTTTGATTGCTGAACCATTAATCTTGTTTACTTGCGTGTACATGAGAGAAGAGGACTTGAGCTCAGAACAGAACTTTGGCAGAACATTAGGAAGCTTAGAGGTGAGGGTGTCTTTTTAGCTACTTTTTTTTCCAACTAGACTGCTGTGTCCTCTGCAACATTTCAATAATTTTTTTCTTTTTGAAAACAACTTTAGTTAAAATAGTTCAATGATGCTTCTTCATCTTCCTGATGTTTGGACCCAAAACAAAGAACCCTAAGCTTAACTTTGAAAAATTTCAATTCTCTTTATTATCTGATTGGTTTCTGATATTTATGGTCAAGTTCAAATCTGTCACTTTGAAAATTATTTTTTACAGATTGAAAGACATGACAACTGTGCATATGACTACTTAGAAATTCGAGATGGAACAAATGAGAACAGTCCTTTAATTGGTCACTTTTGTGGCTATGACAAGCCAGAAGACATTAGATCTACCTCTAATACCCTGTGGATGAAGTTTGTTTCTGATGGAACTGTTAACAAAGCAGGGTTTGCAGCTAACTTTTTTAAAGGTAAATGTTAAAGCATATATTTGGAGTTGTGAACAGCTTATCACTCCTTTTTTGTGCTATAAAAATTATGACAGGATGTTAAAGATATTTCTCAATCTTTTTTTACTAATAGCAGTTCTATACTCTCTCCAGCATATTTTTTACTGGGCATGCAATTTAATCAAAACAGTAGAGGTACTTGAATCTCCTTGTAAAATGGATTCAAAGAATGAATAAACATCTCCAGTGCAACTTTCTGTTGTCTTCAGGTTCAGTTAATGAACTTAATTTTGAAACACTCTAATCTTTTTTTGGGCATTGTGCTATCAAATATAAATTGAAACAGTATAATTGCTTTTTTTTCTGTTTAGTTTTTTTTCTTTGTGTAAATATTGGGTTTTTTCCCAATCCATTTGCTGCATTAGGCTGCTTTATCAATTTATTACTTTCTCTAAGCAAGAAAAAACCAAAACCATGCAGTTGAAAAATCTTAGTGAGCAGTGACCTCACCATTGTTCTCCAGTTATGGGTCTTTTTTGGGGGAGAGGAAGTTGTCATACTACTGCAGCTATACCTGACACATTTGGTGCATGGAAAGTGTGTAATTCCCACCCAGTGCTGCCCATGGCACAGTTAAAGCCACTAACAATGGCATGTCCATGGTGACACCTGAAATACAGGTCACACCACTAGAAGAACGTTTCTACTCTTTTGAGATGGCATAAACTGTGTTTTTTCTTACATTAACTGATAGTTTTCATTGTAGACAATTTAACTGAATGCTATAGGCATGAGAGTGGGAAATCTGTTTTATTCCTAAGAAATTACTTGTCCTAGTGTAAGGAAACAATATTTCAACATCTGAGGAATATTGTAGCAATGAGACTCATGGGTATACTTCAGGGCTAGTAGAGAGAATACACAATTCCTTTCCCTCCCCCAGCCTTGATGCATCTTGTTCCCTTTAATATCAGTAGAATGAAAACCTGGGATTTGAGGATTCTGTTAATCTGGTTTTGAGTATGAATTTGGGATAATGCACAAATTGATTCTGTGAGAGATAAAGTGCCCTTCAAGTGACCCTACTGTGGATTTTCAATCTTTCTTTCAATACTTTAGATTATGGATGCCTGAATTACTCTATGCTGCCCACAAAGTGCTTATAAATTAGTTCTGCAGCAGTCAGTAGGTATTGTTTAAGAAAACCCCAAACACCCAGACACCCAAAGGACAAATATTTTTTTCTCCATTGCAGGTCTCCTTAGCATATGAAAATCCTCTAGTCAGCAACCACAGTGTGTTATGTAGTGTACCTTATAATAGCATGCATATAGCTTTCCGGGTTAATATTGATCCAGCGGTTACAGCTGAGGAAGGTAATTATTTAACACATTTTTTGCATTCTCCCCTGTCTTGGTAGAGGAAGATGAATGTGCCAAACCTGACAATGGTGGCTGTGAGCAGCGCTGTGTGAATACTCTGGGCAGTTACCAGTGCGCCTGTGATCCTGGCTATGAACTTGGTCCTGACAAAAAGAGTTGTGAAGGTACAGTGTTTTGCTGTCTTACAGGCTCTTAAAGCTCTCAGAGTGCCATTCCTTGAATGAAATGCTACACATTTCACATGCTGTGTCCTAACAGCATGAGATCTGTGGAACCCAGCCTGGAAAACCTCTGTTCCTTTTTCAGTAGTGGTGCCAGAGTAATGTCATCCAATGGCTGTCAGCAATTTAGCTGTGCAGGTTTTGCTGGTAGTCAGTCAGGAACAATGCAAAGCAGGACTTCATAGCTTTGCAAACCACTTATTTAATTATTCATATTCACCAAAGCAACGTCTCCCACCATGCTTAAGGAGACAACTACCAGCAGCATAATGTGCCACTGTCTCAGAATCAGAGTATTTATTGATCCCTTTGATGACCTCTGACTGGGGTGTGCCTGGGAAGCTGGCAGGTTGGAAGAGCAGGATCCTTTATTCTACTGCAAAGGTCAGAGAAATCCTCTCCACTCCTAGTCATGTTGCAGACTTTTCATGCTGGAAACAAATTCTACTTTTCAGGGTGTGCAAAGCATGTTCAGATAGTCATTTGGAGAAATAAAAATCTGGTAGGTGGAAGTCTGTATAAACTGACTGATTGAACTGAGATAAGCTTTTGCATTCCGTACATATTTCATGTCAAAGGAAATAAACATAAGCTCTTGATCATTACACACCAATCGTTTGATTTTTCATAGACAGTAATAAATTAAGGAATAGTACAAATGTATTCTTAGCTCATCTTTTACACTAGCGAATGGAGTTTGAAAATTGAGTTACCGTTTTCTCCTGATGTAATTCACTGGTCTCTCTTTTTTTTTTTTCCCCCGTTTTCCTGGCTTTAGTTCATTATTTGTCACAATTTGGGGTAGTTTTGCATAGTTTCTTTGCACATCTTTCTTCTTCTCCTTTTGGATCTGTGGGATTGGTTTTGTTTGTCTGTTAGTTGTGTTTGTGTGAGGTGGTGATAGTCCCAGAATAAAGGCATGTTAGATTGTGGCTCTCATCAAGCTGGTTGGGTTTCTCAGTTGTTTATCCTCCCTCCCCCACATTTAATAATGAGCACATCGGAAAAACAAATTATTTGGATGTCTGCATGTTAGGCAGTATACAGCAAATAAGGTAAATCTAAGGGGAGACCAGAAGACAGAGGTTTGATCTCTGGGCTTTTGATCATCAGCCCAAATTTATGTAAGGAAGTCAGTTTAGTCTGCTTACTGACTTGAGTCAGATTATTACTGAAGATTATCAACCTTTCAGAACAATCTCTGCCTCTGAAAAACAGAAAAGGAATACCTCCCTGGCACCCAAAGGGTAAAGCAGCTCTGGCAAAAGAAGTCACTTCCAGCACTGCGGTGCAGTGTAGAGCAAAAACCCTGAGCTATCCCTAAAAGTGTCTATGCATTTGTTCCATGTGAGGTGGCACTCACTGTATGTAGATAGTACTTGGGACTGCTGAATTAAAATCACTACGTAATAGCACTGAACATTACATCCTAGTTATAGTCTGGGCCTGTGAGGACTGAGCTAGCTGTATTACTTCAGTTGTGATGCCAGAATAGAAGCCTTTAAGTCAAAAACTTTGCCCTATGTTTCACTGCAGTGTTGACGTGCACAGAAAATTTCTTCATGGTCTTCTAATCCAAATCTCCCCCAGTGGCAGTATATTAGAAAGATTTGATTTTTTTCCCCGCTATTTCCGCATTTCCCACTCTTTTTCTCAAAGATCAGTGGAGAAAAGTGCAAAAGCAGAAACTGAAATCAGGCAGTAGTTGCTCTAACCCAGACTGGATCATTAGTGGGGAGCTTGTGTCATCTGAATGCACACTCTAAACGTATGTCTGGTTTTTTTTTGGTACGCTAAGGTGTGATGTGTGGGGTCTTAGTCCACCCACCCCCATCGAATTACCTTTATGTGTATACCAAGAAGTGTGATGCATGGAAAACCAGGGTCCAGGAGGAACACTGGCTTTTGTCTGGGTTGGCAAAATGAGCCAGTAACGGGAGAGTTCCTCCAGCTGTGTTAGATGAAGTAGATGTAGTGCGTGAGACCATCAGCTAGAAAGGAATAGCCACCTTCTAAAGCGTTCAGAGTTAGTGGAGAGCAGTTGAGTAGAGCTTCCCCCAGCTGCTCTTGGAAGGAGATTTGTGGATGATGTCCACTGCTGTCACAGTGCTGTGTTGGTGTCAATGTAGCAGAGTGTGATCAAGAGCCCCTGCAAATCCCATTACTTTCCTTTTTTTAAAAAAATAAAAAAATAACACAGATGGAAAAGATTAATGAGTTTATCCTTTGCTAGTTGGACTGCATTCATGAACATTGTACAGCATTTTCCTGCCGTATGGAGGTGATTGTTTGGAATACATTAGGAAATAATAGGCATTTTCTTTATTACTTGAACATCTGTACTTCAGAAAAAGTAATTGTGGCTGAAGTGTACATGATAGAAATTCCAAAGAAGTGACCCTATCTAGTATATTATGAGAGGCATATACAGCTCTATAAACTGAGACAGGTAGGGATGATTCTGTATCAGTAATCTAGGAGAGAAACTAGGGAAATGTAAAGTGCATCTTAAGTAGTCTGTCTGGCAGAAGAGGGGTGGTCAAGGTCCTTGGGAGGGCGGTGAGGTCAGAGGACTTGCATGGGAAAGACTGTGAGAGAATAACCAGAGTCTCTGGAGGGAAGGAAAAAGAATGAATATGATAACGTCTTGTGGAGTCTTGAAACTTATCTCTGTCCACAAACCTGCAAGTTGTTCAAGATAGGGGCTGTCTCTTTTTCTTTCTTTGCACCAAGCATGATAAAACAAGATTCTGATTAGTCGCTCTGGGTCTTATGGCAGTATAAGTAATGAGAGGACTGATTCTTTTTGGTGTGCTTCTGTTTATAGTAAAACATGGTTTCAGTCAAGAAATGATGCTCACTCTTTCAATTTTACAGCTGCTTGCGGGGGACTCCTGACAAAGCTAAATGGGACTATTACCACACCAGGGTGGCCCAAAGAGTATCCTCCAAACAAAAACTGTGTGTGGCAGGTGGTTGCCCCAACGCAATACCGAATTTCAATGAAGTTTGAGTTTTTCGAGTTAGAAGGGAATGAAGTAAGTATCCATGAACAAAGAGCTGCACAATCTGTTACAAGCTAAACAGTTTCTCAAGCATTCAAAAATAGATACTGCCTTATAAAACCTTTGCTGACCTTTCATATGCTGACAATAAGCATAGATATTCTTGTTTTCATTTTGGGACTGTTTCTGGATTCTTTCAAAACAAACATGGAGAGAATAGCTCTCTTTTACATATCATGTAGATGCATATGTATTACAAGAAATTTAAAAAAGTGTTCTCTGCTGAGTCTCAGCTGACTTTTTTTATCAACAAAGTAAAACAGAGCAAATCGGGCTGAGGCATATTGGAAAGAATTCAAGGGAAGAAAATCTGGAGCAACAAAATCATCTTTGCAGACTGACTACAAAGAATACACATAAGCTGTGGCTAGTGATGGAGTAAGGGAGCATTTAAATCACATTGGGGGACTATTTTAACAGGAGCAGTACCAGAAATAAGGCACAATAGAACAGCATCAGTATTTGAGCTGAGCAATCCCCAGAGGCATTGGGGGATCTTGTCCCCAGGTGGGAGGAGTGATGGGGCAGAGCCCGCCGTGGGGTAAAGGATGCTTCCTATAGCTTTAAACCAAGTGGTGGGAATTGCAGTGTTTTTTGGATGAGAAACAGTAAAATATGGGTTTCAACATCAACTTTTCAGCCTCTGTTCTGCTTCCTAGGCACTTCTCTATCATACCACTGAGTTCTGTTGCCACACTCTAGCCATAATGTCCTGTAGCCATTGAGTCTATCTGCCTGTTCTTCACGTGGCATTAGGGATGCAAATCCCAGGACATTATTTCAGACTAAAGAAATTTGTGGCAATGTATTTGGTATAAGGATGGCCCATCTTTTGGGCATAGGATTTGAAGCAGCAAAAGCTGGAGTTTAATTTATAGAACCAAACCAGCCACGGCTTCTCCAAAATGCCTAAAAATTATTTACAGAGGATATATATTACACTTATGTCTTGTTATCATTATTACTAAAATTGGAGGAGGTGTAAGAAACATGTAAAAATCCCAAAGAATTAAAATTTAATGACTATTTGAACAATTCATATTTTTTATTTCTTGCACTTTTTTGGTACTTCAACAAGATTTGCAAGGAAAACACCTGGGGTGCAATTAGTTTTCTTAGGCCATACAAGACATGTAACTTATGCAGATATAAAAAATTTAAATGTTTTTCAACATTTAGGACTTCAGTTTGATCATCTCCTGTGCTACTAATCTCAGATTTATACTGTTAAAGCATTGTACTAAGGAGGATACATATGAAAATCAGAAGAAATATATAGTACCTGGAAAATTCTAATATATTGTCTAAGTGCAGACATAAAATGTATACATTTATCAAGTGCTCTAATTTTGCATTATTTTTGTTATAGGAGCTCCATTTGGGACTATGTTTAATATGCCTTTTCTGGCATTACAATTTTAATATTTACATTTAACTTGTAAATTTTTTTCAATACAGTGTAGTATGGAGAAAGTTATACGGAGAAAGTACCTATCTGAAATTGCATTTAATTTCTAATCCCTAAAGCTATGGAACCATGAAAACTCAGCACTATTATATTGCTGAAATTGCTGAGATTTATTAATGTTGTGAGCTATGTTTGAAAATCACATGTATTGTTAAGAATTTATCTTCCAATTAATATAAATCAGCATGTGACAGTAACTCAAGTTTTATGAATCTTTGTGGTCTTCATATTGTATAAAAATAGTTTCAGCTGAATTAGTTACCTTCCAGCTCTGCACCATATGAAAATTGTCCCAGTAAGAATAAAATTTTGATCTACATCTTCAATGTATTATATTCAAAGAAGCTGGAAATGCTGACAATATTGCACGGAGAGAGAGAACAGCAAAGGCCAAAACATCCTTTGCTACAGTTCCCTTCCAGCTCCCTGACACTTCATTTTTTACTAGAAATTGCAATTTATCAAGTACAACTTGGATTTAATGGACTATATAAGCTCTGTATGAATCCTCCTGGCCACGGTTTTCTCTTAAGCTATTAATTGCCGACAACTGGGACATTTTTGATTAAATGATTGATAGTTGAGCCTAAGAAGCTTAGAAGTTTTTGTGTGGAAGGCTTTAGGCTGACCAAGGGATTATGAATTGAAAGTATTATCACGAGTAGTAGGCCTTGCATAAGGCTTTTTTATTACATTATTTTACTTTGTTTTTAACCTTTTAATGAAATGGCATACATCATGCTTCCAAATCATACCTATGCTACTGTTAAAGAAATATGTATGGTTTTAATAGTGCAGATTTATATATTTTTAAATAGATGAGTATGTCTTAAATACATTATGGTTAAATATTACCTTGTGAAAATTAATATTTTTACAAAATCTCTGGGATGCAAACAGTATAAGGTTTGTAGGTATGGGGTATGTGGTTTATAACACACAGTTATAATTTTTAGGGTGACTATTTCTAGATTTTAGTCTACTGTAATGGAATGTTTAGTTTTTAGATTAAATGGAAATGCTACTAAGCATCTTGATATTTAGATACTAAACACAGATCAGTGTCTATAAAAATATATTTTAGAATGTAATTCATAGTATAGTTATTTCATAGTGACCTTATAATATTCTTACATAAAATCAGTGAATGTTTGTAAACATTTACAAATGTTTTCAGAGCCATGGGAAAGTCAAAAAGAATATTATTCAAGAATATTATTAAGCAGCATATGCCAATCGGAGTTCTATAATTTTTAAACATCTTCCTGCTTTTATTTTGATTAGCCAAAAACAATAATTGTTTTTTTCTTTTCTCAGGTTTGCAAATACGATTATGTGGAGATTCGCAGTGGCCTTTCTTCTGATTCTAAGCTACATGGTAAATTCTGCGGTACAGAAGTGCCTGAAGTTATAACCTCTCAGTACAACAACATGCGAATTGAGTTTCGATCTGACAACACTGTGTCAAAAAAAGGCTTCAAGGCACACTTCTTCTCAGGTATAGAAAATTACTCCTTTATACCTGCCGGTGCCTCTGCGTGTACACTGACTAGGTGGAGTGAACACTGTATTTTGGTATGAAAGTGAGTGACCTTTTCCCTTAGAGTTTTCCTGGTAGCTTTGAATTTGTTTTATTTATATAAGCATCAACCACTCTCTTGTCTTAAAATACCATTCTGAGTTGTAATGTCTGTAGGAAATACATGGAACAGACATATATGTGTGTATATATATGTATATTTAAATAAGAGCAGAGGAAAATAAACTTTGTGAGATACAGAGGGAAAAAGCAAATTTACTGTGTTCCTACATTTTTATTAGATTTTTTTTAGTCCAGGTTTTGTTGCTGTTTTTTTCAAATCCCAGTTGTAATGTGATACAGATTGCATACTGTGTACACTTGTGTTTTTTCCACTCAGGTCACTTAATATATTCCATTTGCTGGGAAATTACCACTTTGTGCTACAACATTTGTTTAACATTATGGGTACTTCTATGCCAAACTTCACACTTTTTAATGTTTTGCAGAAAAACAGTTTAAGATCTTGCTCTTGCAACAATCTGTGTCCTTTTAGTTATGAGTGTAATTTTACTGAGGCAGATCAGAGCGATAGAAATTTATAGCATATGAGGACATATGTGATTGAATAAAGTTAGACATGAATGAAGCTTAAGATGTGAGGAAATATTTACCCAGCAGTGGTCTCTGCAATTACCAATTGAGACTAGAATATAGTAGTCTGGCTGTGCAGGATATCACTTGGTGTATGTAGTGAAACTTTGCTTTGTGTTTTTCTGCCCCGGGTTTTTTGATACCAGTTAAAAATCTGAATCTGGAGAATTCTGATTATGCTTAGCATGTAGTAAAATATATTGCCGTTGTTAACATTTGTTTGCTAAAGAGAAAATAACTGTCAGGACAAACAATTTCAATTTTTGAATGTTTTCTCGTTATGACTCCTTGAAAGCTTTTATTTTTCTCTGGTAATTACATTTCTCTGGTCATAGTCTTACAAATACATCTTTACATATAGTAGCACTTTTTACTTTTAAATTGATGGTTTACATTAGCAAGAAGCTTTCGAAGGTTACTCGTTATTTGTAGTAAGTAGGTATGTGCACATAGCGGAGCTTCCTCCTAGAAACCCATACACAACTAGTCATTTTATGGAGGCCTGGGAGGTCCAGCAGGAAGTGTCATGTATTTTGACTTTTTACAAGAACATGTATTGACATGTTCCAGTTCTAAAAATCACCTGCAAATGAAGTTTGTTGAATCTTTTCAGGATCTATACGCTATGCCAGATAAGACTGCCACTGATAGCTTTTGAATTTGTGTAAGCTCTGTGGTTCAGAAGTTGTGTTTTGTGGACAAGCTGAACATTTATATGTTTATAATCAGTTAAATTTTGGTCTTCTTTAAAGTTATAGTTAATTTTTTCATATGCATTTATTTATTTTATTGGTTGCTTAAATGATTTTTGTACTATTATGACTGGGTTCTAGGAGGAAATCACACCAATGCTGTATCTTGGGGAAAGACTAGGCTATAAGTCATGGAGTACAAAGCATCAGGTTGTAATCCTTCAGAACTATTATTTCCCTTGTCTTTTTCAGTTCTGAATGAAATGTTCTTCCCTGTCCCTCATGAGATGAAAATGGGTTTTTCCTGGCAGTTAAAAAAATGATGCTTAAATGACATCGTTGATCACCAGAATAAACTCATTAGTCAGGAATAAGTCTGAACGAACGTGGTTTTTAATGAATATAAATGTGCAATGTGTCCTGGATTTAGTAGATATCTAATCTCCTTTAAAAAAAAAAGATAGTTTGATATAAATGATCTTTGAATCTGTAAGTATATAAATTTGCTAAATGCTTCATAATGCATTTCTCCCATAATCTCTTCTCTTATTTCATATGAGTTCAAATACTTTGTATTTTATTTTTATTTTTTCTCTGTCTTCCATTTGTTCTGATTTCTATCAGATTCTATTCTTCGGTGTTATCTGGCTTTCCCCATTCGGCAATATTTCCTGATTAAAACAGAAATTTTGTAATGCTTAAGACACATCAAATTTCTGAACTTAAAATATATAAAATGAGGATGTCATCTCCAAATAATTCATCAGACAAACCTCAGGGCTGTCAGAAAATACTGTGACTTTATTACCCCTGAATTCCTTTATATGGACATAATATGCTGTTGGTCTGTCAATGAAGAATGGACTTGAGAATTCAAGCATTTTGACTTTTGGGATTTGCTAACTGATCACTCCAGCTAATGAAGTGTGGGGGTTTTGCCTATTTAGATGTTAGTCTTCAGAATACAAAACTTCTAGAATGATGTCTGGGTAGAAATATTTAGTGCTGTCATATAAGATATTTGCTGGAAGGCTTTATCAATTTTATTAATTAAATCACAATAGAAATAGTGTAAGCATTTAGTTACAAAGGCATACATCATGAAAAAAATGTAATGAGTAAAACTGCATCTTGCAGTCTGTTCATCAGTAAAGGGCATATGCAGTGCTTAGGAAGAGAAAAAGATGGCTAAGTCAGATTAGTGTGAAGACTAGGAACTGTAATATGTTCCTCAAGCACAGCCAAAGAACTTCTCCCCCCTGCAACTCCTTTTGGTGGTGAATTCTGCAGCCACAACTAGAGTTGAGAAAGCATGGCCCAGGTCCAGCTTAGACGACAGGAAGCAGTTTTTGGGTGGTTGAAACCTGCTGTGATAAACTGTGAAAGCAAACAGTGACATAGGGCAACAGATGACCTGCATTAGGAAGGTATTTATGTTGATACAAGACAACATGTAATTACATTTTTGGCTGTAAAATGGTGTTAACAGTCAGACAGGTGCTACTTGGAAAGTGAGAAAAACTTTTTTTTTCATCATTCTATAAAATTTACATTTGATGGGACACTTCTGAAGAAAGCTCAGTTAGGAGCCGTTGCAGGGATCTAGCTGATCTACAGAGACACAGTTGTATATTTATAATCAAGTTTCTTGGATAAAGAGAGGAAACTAGGGAGTCATGATACATTAAATTTTTTAAAACTTTTGTTAAACCTTTTAGGAATTGGATATTACTCTTCTGAACTAAAAACTTCCTGTGATTGGGTTTTTATTCTTTCTCTCTTTCTTCGGTCGTCCTCTGTCTCTTTCTTCTGTTTTTGTTACAAGACAGTGACCAATTGCAGTCTGCTGGGCCTGTAAGATTAGAGGAGCGTAAAATAACTCTGAAAAAATAATAGTCATTTACATATTTTTTAAAATAAATCTTTTCTATGTTGTTTTGAGAAGATAGCCTAAGGATAAGTCATAATGCATCACTAAACTGCTTCTATTTATCATAAGATTCAGAGTTACTTCATTGTTTTAAATAGACATGATTCTTTGCATGATCATTCAAAACATACATGGTGTTGGATGTAATGTAGAAATAAGGTTTCTTGGGACATTTTTTCTTGAGTGCTGAGTCATCGAGCAGTGAAAAAAGAGGAAGCTAGAATGTTTCTAGCCTTGAGCACACTTGTCTCGGTACTCATCTCTGGTGCCATCCTGGTACATTTTTTTCCACAGACAAGAAAGCTGCCTGCAAAGAGAAAATTTTTGTTTTTGAATCTTGCGAGGACTTGATACAGGTCCCTTCAAGCCGAGTACGTATTATTCACAGACTGGTGGCCTCTGAGGGTCTCAGAGGTACGACCATTTGTCATCTGAATGATTCAATCTAACATTTTGTTGAGAATGGATCTTTTCCTCTTCTGAGTACTGAGATGAGAAAAGAAAGGAAGTATCCATTCAAAACTGGGGGGGACTCATTTCCATCTGTCAGCATAACAAATGGCTTTGTTTTTACATGGCAAAACATTTGTTCTTATAACTAATACACGCTAATTGTTATTTTTTCAAATTTTGAAACTGGGCAATCAATTTGACAGAAAGTCTGTTCTCAGTTATGAAGTGTGAGGAAGGCTTGTTCAACAGTTGCATCCTTGATTAATCATATACAAGTAATTATTGTAGTTCAAATGTCCACATACAAGTAATTATTGTAGTTCAAATGTGTTCCAAAACTTCTCCTTTCTACCTTCTGTCCATTATTTTATTTCTGAGGAGGTCCAGCATGGGACTGTTTGCTTATGCACTTACATCTTATGAGATTATTTTACAGAATATAAGCTTATATAATGTTAAAATACTTTTCAGAGTTTTCACACAGTTTGGTGGAAGATGAAAATGGGACAGAGCTTTTATTTAGAATTTGTGTACCTGCTCTGTACTTGAAAGCCTAATTTGAATGCATTTTGAGCTTGACTTCCATTTATTTTGTCAATTTGGTGGAAAACTACAAACCAATGCTTAGGAGGGGAAATATCAAAGAGTTTTGTTCATCTTAGTTCTAATTTCTCAATTGCTTGTTACTGTCTTCATTTGCAATGTGGAATTGATTTATGATAATGGTTGCTTTTGCAAGGATGAAAGATTATAACTTTGGTTTTAAATTAAGAAGATCTACTACCTCAGTTGGTGACTTGTATTGCAAGGTGCGTGAATAGTGTATTGTGGAGCTTTTATGCTTCTTTCATCATCAAAATGACACTAGTATAAGCCTTTGGATGCATGATTCTGGGAGGTAGATACGTTTTTGTCTGTTTCTTAACTTTCAAATCTGTGCACATTTGCACAAAGCTTCCAAAAACTTTCAGTGCAAACAGATCTGAAGTTTGCAGAACAAAATGCAATGGATGCTTGGGATTGACTTGCAGAATTTATCTATAAGTGTACATCATCATCATCATGTACTATAAGTAGAAACTGATTTTTATAGAAAGACCTGCAAGTCAACGGGTCAGTTGTTGCATACATTTTGGCAGAGGAAGCTGATTCATATGCAGTTATATTGCAAACTTCCTTTGTTGTGTTGCTGAATATGAGAGTCAGTAAAGGCAGGGAAGAAATGCATGAGTAAGACAATGAAAAGAGACTTAAGTTATCCATAGTGGCTTGTAATTTATAGAAATTCTTACTGTACCTACTAAAGTCTGAAATATGACATGTTACCTTGTTTGGAAATAATTGCTGCTGCTGCTTTCCTAGGTACATGAGGCTGAAGGGGTGAATGCTCTGCATTCCAACCCTGCAACAACCAGACCTCTGGGATGTCCACAATTTCTTTACTCCTTTTCCTCCTCTCTTTTTCATGTTGAATTGCCATGTTCTGCAAAATACAGGGTTTTTAATATATGTGTGTTTATATATATATTTATATAGGCATATATTTTTATATCTAAGAATGTATATATATGTGTGTCTATACATATATAGTTATATACATGTGCATACATATATACATGTGTGTATATATGTGCCAGGAGCAGTCTGCCTCTTTTAAATGGACCAGCCTCACCTAAAATGAGAACAGCTGAATGACATAGAAGGGTGGCAGCTGAGGCCTCTTGCTAGAATGACAGCCTGTTAATCTAGTTTGGCTTTTGGCCATACAATGAATTTGTAGCTGTTTAATGCAGGTCATATTTCCTCCACTACTCTCTGTTTTATTTCTAACACACTAAAAGCTCTTTTGAAGGATTATATGTTAATAAACAGAACTGCATGGTATATTGTAGATCTTGGACTAACTAATGCCATTTTCTTTTCTTTTCTCTTTTTTTCAATGAAATGTTTTTCTTTTTGTGATATTCTGTAATGTCCAGATTCATTAAAAGTAAAGCACACTGTCACACTGCTGGGGAAAAAAACTCAGCTTCTTAGAAAAGTTTGTGAAATTCTTCTTTTGTTACATGTTTAATGTGTAGAAGTTAACGTCTTATTTGGCCTACATGGTCCCTTCAACATACCACCATTAAATTATGGAATTTGCATTAAGTTGGAATACTTTGTGTTGTCCAAAAGCTACATTGCCATTGTTTACTGAAATAAAACTTTGGATATTTATGAAACCTTTATCAGCTATACTCCTTGAAAGAGTAAATGCTGGTAACTGTCTTATCTTCTTTGTTTTAGCTTGTTTGCTTTACTAGTGTTCCTCTCCCCTAGGAACTACCCCTCATTTCCTAGAAAGATGAGTCAGATTATTTGCATCATGGTGCAAGGTTGCAGGCAGAGCAATGAGTGGGTGGACTTAAGGTACCACGAAACTGCCTTACTGAGAAGAGTGACTGTGCTGTAGCTTATCCTTTTCTGGACTCAACCCTGTGCTCAACCTTTTTGTGGCAAGGTCTTCTACTAGCTGTGATGCTCACTTGACCTTATTGTGTATTTTGTAGACAAGGATGAGTGTTCAAAGGACAATGGTGGCTGCCAGCATGAGTGCATCAACACAGTAGGAAGCTATGTTTGCCAGTGCAGAAATGGATTTGTGCTACATGAAAATAAACATGACTGCAAGGAAGGTAAGAAGGAAGGTATTTGAATGGTTGATTACACAACCGTCTTGCAGAAAGCTTTCTGCAGTTCTCCTTTCAAACAAAAGAAAGGAAAAGAGATATTGATAATGGGGTTTAGGCATTTGGGCTTAAGCACTCCATCATTCCTCCCCCTTTCCCATCCCATCCATCCCCAGCATTTGTGTGGGCTGAGTTTGAGGTTCACAGGAATGAAAAAATTGGCAGGGAATGATACTTTTAATAGGTCTGTGAAGTTTAGAACATTTGAAGCAGTGATAGAGTGTCTATCTAAGGCTGTATTAAATGCAGGGGTAGAGTTTCTGGAGAGAAGCCTGGTAAAGTTGTCATTTGCTTCTAACAGTAGCAGTTAGTTTCCTTGCAGTCAGGTTGAAACTGTATCTACCACTTTTGTGTTTATTTTAGGGGACATATTCAGACAATCTAAATTCCAGTCAAATCCCTATGCATCTTCCTGTTTGCTATCTCAAGGTGTAGCTGCCTCCAAGAAAACAATAGGCTTTGGGGCTTAAGTAGAATTTAGATTACCTCCAAACAAACCTCAAGTGTGCAATATCATGTGAGCTATTGTAATTTCTCTAGGTTGTATTCCAGCATGGATTTGAGAGGAAAGGTGTGCCCTTTGTGAATTATTTGTTTTTTCTCTGGTTTTGAAATGATAATTCCCTGCTCTAAAAGTTTCTTGTTGAATAATTCTCTAATATTTAGCAAGCAATTTGAGACTGTTATAAAAACTAAATAAAAAATGCCTTCTTTAAGTTTTAGTTATTTGTACTTATTCACAGAGATGCACTTGTAGTGGTTCCATTAGAATGTAAATGACAAAGCTGTTCTTTGTACATACTCACAGTTCAGTCTTAGCTATTTGTATATATATGCCCAGAAACTGTGGTTTAGAAAGAAATATGATTGCTCTGTAGCTGCAGTACGAAAACTAGTGGGAAGAGAAAAATTTCTTTTGAAGTTGGAGTAGCAAGACTTCTCATATGGATTTACATATTTACTTGTATGTAGGATGGTGGAATATAAAATATTTAATTAATTTTTAGTATTTATCTTATGTTTATTCCTTTGTAATACTCTTTCAAAAAATAACCCCTACCCACTGTAAACAACAGTGTATGTTTCACAACAATCAATAAACAAGCATGCTGGGTTAATGCTGCAAAGTGTGTGCCTGAGGGGGAAGAACATGGTTGTGAACTCTGAAGAGCATGGTTATCTGTATTCCTAAAGATCCTTTGTATTCAGTGGGTCCTCTGATAAAAAATAGTACTTTTTTGACTACCTCTGAATACAGACCCCCAGACTCACTGATGCTATCACTGTTTGCACAGCTGAGTGTGAACAGAAGATCCACAGTCCCAACGGTATCATCACAAGTCCCAACTGGCCTGACAAGTATCCCAGCAGAAAGGAGTGCACGTGGGAAATCAGTGCCACCCCTGGGCAGAGAGTCAAACTGGTGAGTTTCTGCCTACCCTTCCTATATGTCATTTCTTTCACCAAACCATGACGGCGTAATGATACGGAACTGTTACTAAACTTTACTATCAGTTTGTCTCCCAGAGGTAAAATGTTTTCAAAACCTGCTGACTCCTGTCCATTCCTGGCCAAAAGGGACTATTCAATATCACAGAGCTGTGATTTGGGTTTATGGTGATTGGAAATACTCTGGACAGCAGAATGCCGGAGAAATACTTTCCTCCTGTCAGACTACCATATTGTTCTTGCAACTCATAAAACTTTGCACAAGTTTTGACAAATATGGTAGGGGCCATTTACACAAACTCCAGTATATAGAATAAGCAAAATTTTAAGTTATGAACAGTCCTCTCCACAGACTTTTTGTATTTCTGTTCTGTAGTTTCTGAGAGGGAAAAGAAAATGCAAAAAAAAATAAATTCCAGTAATCTGTATTTCTCATTTAAAAGTTGTTCCAAATTTTAACTTAAGTAAAAGAGTGGCCTAGAGTAGATTTGTGAATTTTGTGTCCAGCTGGCTGAGGACAGTGCTGGTGGCTGAAGACAGGCTAGAAAAGCTTAGAGAGCTTTGCAGGTCTTTTGAGGTTATGTAGCTTCTGTATGAAGCTGAAGGCATGGTCCTGCCCATGGGATTTTTCTTTGAGCTCAACCCCAGTGTTCCTTCAGCCAGCGTACTTGGGGGATAACCACAATAAAAGTTGGCCTTACGTACTTTAAAATCTGATAAATTGATTTTGCAACCATTTCGGAGCAAATAAAGTTAAGGAGAGAGATGTCTCTGCTTCAGAGAGGTAGAAGCAATAGCCAGTAATGATGCAGGGATGAAAAAGAGATCGTAATCTTGTAAGTGCTGACCTTAGCCAAACCCTAAACCCTTGTGCTGGTTTTGGCCAGGGTAGAGTTAGTTTCTTCACAGTGTCTGGTATGGGGCTATATGGATTTGTGCTCAACACGGGGTTGATCATACAGAGGTGTTTTTCTTACTGCTGAGCCTCACAGAGACATACTCCATATCATATGACATCATGCTCAGTATGTAAAGTGTGGGGACATTTGGAGTGATGGCATTTGTCTTCCTGAGTAACCATTATGTATGATGGGGCCCTGGTCTCCTGGAGATGACTGAACACCTGCCTATGGGAAGCAGAGCAGTGAATCCTTGTTTTGCTTTGCTGTGTACGTAGCTTTTTCTTACCCTATTAGACAGTATTGGTCTCAACACACAATTTTTTTAGCTTTTACCCTTCCGATTCTCTTCACAATCCTACTGGTGGTGGAGTGAACAAGTGGCTGTGTGGTGCTTGGCTGCTCCTGGGGTTAAACCACGACATCCCTGGTTTTGGTGCTGATGCAGACTCCTGTATTGATCCCTGTAAAAACGTAGCTTTTTCTTACCCTATTAGACAGTATTGGTCTCAACACACAATTTTTTTAGCTTTTACCCTTCCGATTCTCTTCACAATCCTACTGGTGGTGGAGTGAACAAGTGGCTGTGTGGTGCTTGGCTGCTCCTGGGGTTAAACCACGACATCCCTGGTTTTGGTGCTGATGCAGACTCCTGTATTGATCCCTGTAAAAAGTTAATCTCTGCTGCGAGGCATGGGGGTGATGAAAAATGAGTGGTGTGCATGATCTGTCCATTCCAAGGGTGAAAAATAGGATCTTGATTCAGGTGGCCTTCCTACTACCACTTCTGAGCAAGCATTCTTCATCCTGACTGAATAAACCAAAAGCAACCAGGCATGGCATGGGCATATTACTGTAAAAGCTGTTCCAGTACTTCTAGCCTCAGCAGGCAAAAATCCAGCGTTCAGATTTCTTCAGTGAAATATTGCATGGTCTGTTTTAAAAAGGAAAGTTTTTTAAATTGGCCTTTGTCAATGAAATTGGGAAAATTGACAGAATTTTACTAGATAGAATTTTCAAAAATACCTCCATGGTTTAGACTCTGAGATCTGCTCTTCGGTGCAAGCCAGTAGGGTCAATCTACTAAATTCTGTGTGAATAATATCTTTGAATTGTGTATTACAGCAAGGTGCCGTATCAGTTACATTATATTCCACAGTGGATCAGTATTTTTTCTCGTACTTTCACAGTGTATTTAGTTTTACTTCTCACAGTTTACTAATTCAAATTGAGCAACGACAGATTTCAGCATGGTAATAAACCACATGAATTGTGAGGCTGTGCTTTGTTTTTTGAGAGGGTTTGTTGTGATTGGTCTCACTCTGATAATCATTGGAAAGTCTCTTCCTGAACAGGCTAAAGTTAAGTATTTGGTGCAATTAAGAAGCCTATGAAAAAATGGATATGCACTTCAGAATTTTTAAATGAAACATGTAGATAAAGATGACTTTGAAAATGCTTGTAGCACAGAGAGTGGTTTTCATAAGCTAATCAGCCGGATGTTTATAAGAGACAGACTTAAGTGTCCCATTCAGGCAGCTGTCCATAAGTGCTGCTGATGTATCTACTCAGTTGAGTGGTATAGATAGAAAGGGATGGATGTTCAGAAGCTACATGTAACATTTCTGAAAACCATTCCCACTAAGGAAACAATTAAAATGAGGACTGTGATCATGGTGGGGTAGGAACTCAAAAGTATTTGTTACAGAGAAAGAGAGTGTGATTTAATGACACTAACAACTTTATTAAATCATTTATGAACTCTGCTGGCAGCAAGTATTCATTTTTTTTTAAGGAAAGTTTGTGTCAGTTCTCCTCTTTCAAACTTGCTGGGAATTGACTGCTTTTTTAAACGTGGAGACTGTCTTTGGGTGTTTTGAAAGTATCAAGCATTTTGAACTTCTAAAAGACTATGCATACTCAGATCTGAGTTTCCTTCAAAAAGCAAGTCCCTTTGATTCTCTTTGCAATTGCTTGAATCAATTGCTAGACTCATAACAGATTTAGGACGTTTTTCTGGCCATCTTTGCGGGACACAATATAGCATGTACTGTGCTACTGCAGGCTTAGGAATCCCAGTGAGAAGTTGAATATTAAAGATTACAGGTGTATCTGACAGTTCATGGTGAGATGTGCTTCCTGGAGGGTGTTGGGGTTGTTTTTTTTTTGTGTTAATGAGAAGTGAACAAAACTGGTATGATGCTCCACTAAAAGAAAATGAAGCTCTGCAGGCTTTACTTGGATCATGTCTATTGCTCTTGTTGATTTCAAGCTGGCTTGACTCAATACTGTGTTTAACTAACTCCCTTACTGAGAGTTAGTCTCTCAGCTTTCTCGGTTTTGGTTAACCCATCAGATTTTATTTGGGTATAAATGGCAATACATACTTGGCATCATAAAAGTAGGATGACTGACCACAATTTAATTTAATTTTTGTATTCACTGCTTCTGCAGTTTCAGTCCCTTAATCTAAACCTCAAAAGTTTCCTGTGAAATGAACTTGTATCCACTGTATCATGCAGCTCTTCACAAAACAAAAATGTTATTCTGAATATTGCAGTTCTTTGGGCAAAAAACTTTGTCTTTGCTCTTTATATATTCTTTAAGTCAGCTGCTAATATAAATTACCATCACATTTCACACTGTCTGGATTCTGCAAGGGATTTGGCAGGTCAGATTTGCTTTGGTGTACCAGAGAGAATACTTAATTACGGCATTTGCTTGGTATTTGATAGTTCAGTTTTATTCTTTTTAATTATTGTTTCTTAATCCTTTTGAAGTTTTGGTTTGTTTTTTTTCTCCATAAACAGACAGCTATATGACTACTTATGAGAGCATTTGTACTTAGTGTCATACTGAAGTTTTGTTTTTTTTCTCCATAAACAGACAACTATATGACTACTCATGAGAGCATTTGTACTTAGTGTCATACACCTTTTAGAAAGACCTGCAGTTTTCTCTACTAAACAATCAACATAATTTTGTTATTTTTCACAATGCTTTTGCTAGCAAAAATGTGACCTTAGAGTGAAGGGTGCAGCCTGAAATGTCATTAGTGTTGTAATGTTTTTTTTCTCCATAAACAGACAACTATATGACTACTCATGAGAGCATTTGTACTTAGTGTCATACACCTTTTAGAAAGACCTGCAGTTTTCTCTACTAAACAATCAACATAATTTTGTTATTTTTCACAATGCTTTTGCTAGCAAAAATGTGACCTTAGAGTGAAGGGTGCAGCCTGAAATGTCATTAGTGTTGTAATAATAAAAAATAGATCTCTAGATAATAGATTAGAAAATGCAACTTTCATGCATAACCATTCATGTGGAAAAGTCATTCTCAAAGGCTTTAGTTGCAGTGTGATGTAAGTTTAGGAAAAAAAAAGGAGGGGGAGCCATTATGTTTTGCAGATGTTTCAATCAATCCTCAACTGTGCGAGGAACCAGTAATTTCTGACTTTCTGCTGTTTTGAATGTTCTGTAAAACTTGGAGAAATACTACAAACAGTGAAAATTCAACAGAAAGGCCACTGTATTGTAGATTTAATGTTGTCTTACAGATATTAGCTGGCTATAAAGATTCTAGTGCTTTCTGTATGAAGCATGATGCCCTCTTGGAGTTCGTTGTTTTTCTACTGAAGATCAGTATGTTATTCAAAGCACTAGGCTTGTAGAGGCAGTAATGTTAAATCTGTCATCTTAACTACATCTTTGTATTCTGAAACATGCTAACATATGTACCATGTAAGTACAGTAAGCACAGCACTGCAATGAGTCATTTTACCTTTTTTTCCCCCCCAGACCTTCAATGAATTTGAAATAGAACAACATCAAGAATGTGCTTATGACCACTTGGAAGTGTTTGATGGTGAAAGTGAAAAATCACCAATCCTGGGACGCTTCTGTGGCAGTAAGATACCAGATCCTCTTATTGCTACTGGAAACAAAATGTTTCTCCGCTTTATTTCTGATGCATCAGTTCAAAGAAAAGGCTTTCAAGCAACGCACTCTACAGGTCAGAAATCAGGATGTGCTTTACTAATAACTTACCCTTTGTTCTTTAGTGGAAGATATTCAGACACTTAAATGGGAGGAATCCACAGATAGGACAATGTTACATCTGAATCTAATGACATCTTAAGCACAGTAGGAAAAGTCTGAGATTGCAGAAAGTATTCTCTAGTATTTTAGATGTTTCTTTCTCCCAGTCTCTCTCATAGGTAAGCAACTGAAATCAAAGTCTGATAGAAAAATCGGAGCTATTCCTTAGAATTCATGATATGAGTTGATATAGGTTCACTAGCTTTTCACTGTATTTGTAATGGCATAACTTAACTGGGACATGTGATGCATCTCCATTACTTTCCCCTTCTAGCTTAAACAAAAATCCAGGTTGTGTGTATATGACTGTTACTTTCCTGTAGTGCTAAAAAGGAAAGACAAGCCAAAGAATAAGAAAAAAAACCAAAACAGTATCGAAGACTTTCTTAGGACTTTTAGACTATAATGTCCTTTATATTTATCATTTAATTTTGTTCTTTGGCAGAAATCACTGAAATTGAAAATAATGGTTTGCAATTGCATTAATGTAGTTCTTGGGACATTTTCAGTGTGTACATTTTCCCCGACGTTGCTTGGCTTACAGTGTCCCCTAGTGCTGAATCTCTGAACTTCCAGTGCCTGCTGTAAGAGGAGGGGATTTGGGTTTTTTTTGTCATCAACCATAATGACTGTCTTTACTTTCCAAAGTTCATTCGTATTCATCCAGTATTTGGCAACAAATATTAATGCAGAAAGTATTTCATAAATATTTCTGCTAGTAGATAAGGTTTACTGACAGATAATAGCTATTAATAGAAGAGAGTAATTGAGGTGACTAGTTTATATAACTAGTTAATATAACTAGTTATATTAATACTGTGAATATAATTAGATATTACCCGGAGTATTCATCAAGTTGATATGTAGTCCTCAGCTAAAAAGTCCTCATATATCAGTGTTGGCATTTTCTCTTTCTTCTCCTTCTGCTTTGTTATGAATAATTCTAAAACTTTAGTAATTTAATTTCCCTTTCAGAGAAAGACAGTAGGCAACAGTATATAAAGTCTTCACTATTGTGATCTGGGCCTCAAAAGTGAAAACTTTAGCTATGTGTAATTCAGTTTGTTTTTCTTGTGGGCAGTCCTCTTTTACAAGCATGCCATTCTTTGCCTTCCGTACTGCAGTAGGACTTTGCCTTATATACAAAATTAGATAGAAGTGTTAATAATCACTCATTTTTTAATTACCTTGGGGGATATAGGTACAGGTCAGAACTCTTGTTAGAAACAGATGTTGTAAAACTGCTGTCTCATTTATTCTTCTCACTTTAGGTTTGCAGAATTGGAGCAGTCACCATGTTCAGAAGTTCAGATGTATACTCCCTAGCTTCTAAATATTGCTCATTATGTTATGACTTGCTGGATTTTCTGTCATACCTGATGAGGTTTATAAAACATTCTTACCATGAACTATAGTGTTTCTCTGATAAACTGTGGAGAATAAAATCTACCCAGTTTTTAGGAATGGTATAAAAATTATAAAGTTTGCTTCCTTAAGAGACAACATTTATTTCTGTCAGCTGTTGTTGCACAGACTGCTGCTGAAGATGAGCACATATCACAGCATGTGCTTGGAGGTAGTGTTTGAATGAGAGACACCTCAGATCTTGCAGTATTTTCTTGCAGTCTTGAGCCAAGCATGGATGTTCTGTGAGAATTTTACCTCTGTGAGATGTACACACGTGAATGGATAGATACACCAAGCATGTGGTCAGTGGATTGTATTCCCTTAGTTTATCTTTTCTAGCAAATAATAATTGATGGGATGCCATGGAAGTGGACAAGGTTGTGTTCTTCGATCCTACATAGCTGTGCAGACAGGGAGTGCTGAGGAAGCTGCTCACTTCACTTTTGACCTGTTGGCAGAACTCATTCAGTAAAAGGACTAATGTAACATAACAGCAGTGAAAGAGTAACTGGGTGCTATGCCCAAGATGTCTCTGCTGCTGTATTTCTGGCATCTTTATGATTTAGTGGCCTCTTATTCCAGTAGATGCTGTTGATGATGTTGATTTCCCTTCTATGGCACTTTTTGGCTTGAAGTACTTTAAAGGATTGAAGGATTTCCAAATTTCCATTTAATATTTCAGAAAATGGGATTAAAATGTAACAGCACATGCAGTAAAGTTTCAGAAAATAGATTGGATAGAAAGGGTTCACTGGGTAGAGCAAAACTTATAAAATACTGTTTTGAAAGTGCAATATAGTTTTAGAAAGATATTCTGTCATATTTTCCCCTCTCAGAAAAGGCATAACCCATCCAGGAGGAATTAATAAAAGTGCTCCTGACAGAAGATTAAACATCATTGCTCAGGGAGAGTGATCTGTTTGCCCTAACACAGGCATCTAGTTCCCTTCTGGACAACCTCATTTATGCTGCCTGGCCTTCAGCCACTGGTGCAGGAGTTTGCAGATTTGCTGTAGGTCCTGTTCCTATCTGTCAGTGCTGCAAGGATGTCTCAGACAAATTTGAGCATCTCAGATGTCACTCAGTTTAGGTGCCTGTGTTACTTCCAAAATAACTGTTATGATTCAGTATGGCAGTGCTGAATCAAATTTATAATCTTGTTGCATTGGTTCAGGTGATGTGGGTTTAAGCTTTGCCCATCTGTCTGGCTTGTTAAAGTCAGGAGACTAATGCTTAATTTCCTCTTAAGTTTGTAAGAAGCCTAAAAATCCCTAGAAATGTCAGAAAATGAGAGGTTTTTTGCTTCTTAGCTGATCTAGAAAAAGTCTTTCACCTGAAGCTGCCAGATCCCCACCATTTTACAAGTTGGACATATTTCTTTACAGTCAGATGCATGCATTGTGCCTGCAGCAGAGCAGCCATACGTGCACAGTGGAAAATGTCTCTGGTGCACCTAGGTTCTGGTACCAAGGCTAAGCAAGAGGTGTTGCATGGCACTGCTCTGTTCTGTGCCTATCCCACATGTCCTAATGCAGCACTGCATTGTGCAGGCTGGATGTAGACTTTTGAAACTCCAACTTAGTCCTTAAGCAATTGAAAATTTGGCTTCAATTTCTAAAATCAATACTTTATTCTAAAATATAAGACTATAATCCACGAGAGAAGGCCAGGGGAAGGGAATTTCCATTTTCTGTGGTTGTCAGTATGGCTACAACTTTGCTTTAAGCTCCTGTCCACTGTAGGAAGCAGAGGGGAAAAATGCAGACAGTTTATTAAACATTTTCTCCTTAGCAGCTGTTACGTGTCTGACGCAAGGAGATATTCTTAATATTGGCGACAGTCCAGTCAAAAAAAAAAAAAAAAAGAAGTAAATGAAGTCAAGAATAGGGAAAAACCCCAGTATGTTAGAATATCAATGAGAAATAACTGCACTATCTTATTTGACAGTTATTTTATTATGTGCTTCTATCTGTTCTTTAAAAGCAAAAAAATAAAAATTGAAATTTTAGATTGAACAACTGAGCATGCATAATGGATTACTTACATAGTTTATATTTCCTGTTTTGATTCCTTCATTTCCTTATTAAGAAAAAACATGCACTTTTTAAAATACAAGGATTTGGTCATTACGATAATTAATTCCCAGCTGAAATGTGACTCCTCACAATATAGCATTGCAATGTGTGTGGGTGGAATCCATGACGCTAAAGTCAAATTTAAAGTACCTCTTCACCAAAGCTTAGACATGTTTGAATCTTGCAGTTTGTTTCAGGTTACTATAATGTGATCAGTCAATAATACCTACATTTGATCAAAAGGCAGATGGAATTATCTGCTGACTTAGTTATAGAAATTGAATCTAAACTTGTGAATCTCAGATTTTTTTTCAAACTCATTTGCACTTGATGTTTTTGTGGGTTCTGTAAGGGATGATTTTTTCTTGATGAGAAACCAGAACTAAATTATGATGTTTGCATTGAAATCTTTGTACGTGTAAAGTAAACAAAACCTCCATCCATCTTTTGTAAATGTAATAAGCAATACATTTTTTAAGTACAGTTTTCCATTATTTCTTGGTTACGTTTTAATAGCACTTTTCAGTGACAGATGCATAAGACCTATATATTTAAGTTACTCTAGAAGCTGAGTTCACTGGCTGTTCAGGATAGAATAGTTTTAAGTATAGATTATGAAAATATTTAGAAATGGTATTTACTGTATTTATTGTATTTATTGTATTTATTTTTAGCTCTTTGCATTTTCAGCAATTTTTGTTATCCAGAAAACTGATTGCATTTATTTGACTGTATTTGAACAGCTTATTCAACTATGCAGTCAAGCAAATTCATATTTAAATTATGAACTCTTTGAGCACTTAGAAAAAAGCTCTAAAACCCCACATACATTCTGCTACTGTGGACAAATAGAGATTTATGCTGAAATAATGGTTTTGGCAGAAGGCAAGGATCTCCTGCCAAAGGCCTGCCTCAACAGTGGGCTTTCAGCTACAAGACTTTCTCTTGTAATTGCAGCTTTCTCCCAGCCACACTCTTTTGCAGAAAAAGGCCTGTTCATATCCATGACCAGCACAGCAAACAAGGTAGTGAATTTGGCAGTGGTGGTTAGAATTGAGCTGACTCTCCCGGCACCACGGTATCATAAAAGCTGACACTCCCGTGAAACACTAGATTTTAGCACTTAAGAGCTGACTACGTGTGTGATAGAGCTGTTCCTTCCCTGTCACTTGTGAACTGTGCCTTTATCCCGTGTGGAATTGCCACCACTTAGAGCACCTGTCTTGCTGGCCACAGGCATCTCTCAAGATCTACCCAAAGACACCTGTACTGCTTGAACCACATTCCGTATAGCTTTGGTATTCCCTGTCTTTGTCTTTCACTTGAAAAGTATGAATTATGTTCAAGTCTCTGTAGTTTTAAAACAGAGTTTATGTAAGAAAAACTCAGAATGATGCATTTGTATTCCTACTCTCAGCTTGTTTGGTTAACCCTTTTGTGGCAATAAAATGCACTCAGGCTGAATAAGACTGGACATCTGTGAAAAGAAAACACTAATTTGCACTGAATAAGCTGCTGCTTCTTTTATTTTCCCTCTGTTTAGATTGTGGTGGTCGGTTGAAAGCTGAAACCAAGCCTAAAGATCTGTACTCGCATGCTCAGTTTGGCGATAACAACTACCCGGTTCAGGCAGACTGTGACTGGCTCCTGGTGGCAGAGCGTGGCTATCGAGTTGAGTTAATGTTTCAGACTTTTGAGGTTGAAGAAGAGGCAGACTGTGGTTATGATTACGTGGAGCTCTTTGATGGTCATGATAAGACAGCTGTGAGACTTGGTCGATTTTGTGGATCTGGGGTAAGTAACCAGGTACAAAACTTTTTCTTTTATTTCCACAACAAAAAAGATTAAGAAAGACAGGGCAGAGGAAGGAAAGGGTCAAGAAGGGATAAAGTTCAGTTACTACAACTTATAATGAAGATACTAGATTAGCTGCTTCTGATTAGTTTTTTTATATAAATTTGCAGGTTTGTAGTACAATCATTCCCTTGAAATACTTTCAGCAATTAATATTCTTACCTATTTTTTGATTTAAGTCTTGTTATGTTAGGTAAAGCTACCTTTTGTTTTGTTAAGCAAAAGGTAGCTGGCAGTGAAGCGTTTATCAACACCCAAAAAAAGTGAGCATCTGTTTCCCTTACATAGAGAGAAATGCACCAGTGCTGAAAATTATCATATTAAATTCTTTCAATTTAAATGAAGGAGTCACATTTTACAGTGTGAGGAGCAGTTGGGAAGCATTTATAGTATGCTCGTCTACTACTTAAATTTGATTTCAGGGTAAAAGATTTCCTAAACTGGGTGATTAATATCGGCCTTAAGAAAACACTGAAATCCTATATGCATCTCTGACATGTTTTATCTGTCAGACATAGAGGAAATTGTCCAGATGATATCCTGAAAAGTCTGTATCCTATTTCTCCTTTTAGAATTGCGTTGGTCTTTTGGCTGCTGGTCTTGCAAAAACTGGTGCAATGGTCCCACAAGGCCCCATCAGTTCCTTATATGTGTGCCAATGCATGCACACTTGCATACATGAGACTCTACATGAGATGACAGGAGCTCTTAATTAGCCATGTGTCACTTTTTTCAGCCACCATGCTGGATCAAACATCCTGGTTATTCAGATGAGTTACCTGTAAGCTGGCTTAAACCCTTTTAGTGCATTTTGGAACACTTAAGGATACATGAAAATGTACTTCTGCTTGAACTGTAGTGAATGTATTCTAAGAGAAATACTACAACTCAGCCTAGCATCTACTGGCTTACACAAAACAATACTTCTATTTGCAAGTTGCCCTATTTTACAAGTAGGAGGGCAGCAAACTGCAGAATGGACCAACCTTGGGTTGAATGATTTTTTCTTTTTTGGAGTCAGGGTGGGATGGTTGAGTTTTGTTACTGTTGGTTTGCTTTGCTTCTGGTAAGATGTGAATAAATAGCTTCAGAGGCTACATAGGAAAAATAGAATTAAATAGAAAAGTGATTGAAAGCAAAATGATCCAAACTGGAGTGGGAAAAAGGCACTATTATATATTACCACCTTCTCAACATTAGAAGAAGGATTTGGTAGGTCAGCTGACACTTCTAATCAATGTGCAACAGACTATCAGGAGGGCTATGAAGAATAAGATAGAAAATATGTACAGGAATCTGTTGTTTATCTAAATTTAGAATATTGTATATAGTCCTGCCCAGTCACTTTCTTGTCTCCAGCAGAACTATAGAAGACCTCTGGGAAGGGCAAAAGAATTAGGAGCTTTGTATGCTTTGTCTCATGAGAAAAGAGTGCAGAGATATTTCATACAAATTGCAGAAGTTAAATCAGATTCAGAAACTATGATGCCACATTTATTTAGGTTGTGTGGAAAGCTGCTTTTCGGGCCCAGAGCTCAAGATGGAAAGAGGGCACATATGAATACAAAAGCATAATGTTATAAAACACAATTTCAAAACTTCTGCTGTCAGATAAAAATTCCAACATCATGATTTAAGCTGACATCCATCTTTAGGAGTTTAGGTTATTTCCTCAGTCTACCTCAAAAATTCCTACCCTATAACTGAGAGCTGAATGAGATAGAAGTATTCTGTTTGGTGATGTCAGATGACATCATCTGAGACAGAGTGGAATTCCTCAATGATGCACCGCAGGAAAAGAGAAATATTCATAAGAAAAAAAAGTGAATGAAGGGGATGAATAGACAGTGGACAGATAATGATTTGTTTATTCATTTATTTTAGCCACCAGAAGAAATTTTTTCAGCAGGGGAAGCTCTTTTACTTCACTTTCACACTGATGATACAATCAACAAGAAAGGATTTCATATACGATATAGAAGTATAAAATATCCAGATAGTGTGCACACCAAAAAATAACACAAGAACCTCTATGCCAGAAAAGGAGAGTGAGAAAGAAAGAACGCACAGTGAAAAGGAAGGAGGGCGTGTCATTTTTTGAAAAAAAACTCAAGTTATTAGCACAAATGTTTTATGTAAGTTCAGTTGAAATACCGACTGAAATAAAATAAAAGAAGAAAATCACCTATCCCAGTAGAATAGTGAAGATGATGATGTGCAGGCTCCATACTTGACAGTCTCTGCAAAGCTTGTGAAAGGACTTTGCATGCAGGGAGAACATAAAAGCTTTTGTTCATGGTTCGACATTTGCTAAAGCTGCGTGTGGATTCAATCAGTTGCATTCAGGGGAAGTGACCCTGTAGACCGTTCTTCCTTCTGACAATTGTATGGTGTCCAGGAGGGAAAAAAGTTCTTTTAGGTCACACATACAAAATGCTGTCTTTACATCTAGTTGCTTTGACTTTGTATCCTGCATACAGTGTGTAAAAGGACTTTTGAAAGAAGATATGAAATGGGAAGGTCTTCCTGCATCATTCTGTATTTTTTATAAATTAATCTGTCATATCAGGTTATCAGTGTTTTCAAACTGGAAAATCCTCCTTCTGAAGTATAACTGATCTTTAGAGTATTTTGTTTTACTAATGACTGAGAAGTCTGAACTGTTATATCAGTCAGCACTAGTGACCAATCACTAGTTGACTGAATTTGAACAGTGTAAGCATCTGAAAATGTTTGGTTTACTGGTCAAGTAAGCTGTCTCTGATGATGTGCTCTTATTTTGCACTGAACATAGAAAGAGACTGAGATGAAAACCGGTGCTGAATCAAAATCAGTATCCGTGAGAAAGACAAATAGTCAAGGATCCCCTGAAACTTCTCTGAGTTTGTTTTCAGCAGTACATTTGGAACAACTGCTAAGCTTTATTTCTTCGGACCTCTGTGAATGACCTATTTGCCTGGTTCAGCTACTCAGAAATGAAGCTGCAGTAGGATCCAAGAGGGAAGTTGCTGAAAGAGGGTTTTTTTTCTGGGAGAAAGAATATATGTGATGGCAAAAAAAGCAGAACAAAATAACGGCTCGAGGATTTGTGATCTCAAGAGTGAATTCCTATGGTGCTATTCCATGAACATTAAAAACAAAAACAAACCAAGAAGTTTTAGACTTTTGAGCCAACAGTTTGCAGATCATGAATGTCTCGCTATACCTGGCTGCATCTGGACAAGGAAGGCTTTACTGCTCCGAGGGAAAGTGGTTGCAATGGCAGCGCTATTCCTGTGGAACAACTACTACTATTGCCTTAGAATCCTCGCACACGATCAGACAGATCTTCCTGTAGATACACCTCTAATTTGATAAATAATTTGACAACTCGAACATCTTAGCGTACACTAACAAAAGGATGTTCAACTGAAAGCCCCATCTGCAGAGTGAGATCATCTGCTGTAAATACAGTGACCTGCTTTTAATGTAGAGATATGTTATGTTTAGAACTGAGATATTCTATGTGCTTTAGGCCATACGTGGCTTTAGTCATAATGTATATGCATTATGTAATTATTGTATGAATGAGTGCTCCAGGGGAGTGAGAGGTGTATGGGTGAAAATGGAATTGTTTCTTTATGTGCCAAGTTATATCAGGACCCTGTTTGACTGTAGCAACTTTTCTTTAAAGGCTTCATAGACAGATAACAAGGACTTCTAGTTGGCAAAAATCAAGTTTAAATGAAGTATTATGTTTCACTTACAAAAAATATTATTTTGATATCCTTTGATGTAAGTTGCTACTCAGATTAGCTTAGTTTTTGTTTCCTTATTATGAACTATTGGCACTAATAAATCTGACCTTTTTTTATAAAAATAAAACCCAAATGTCTGTATAGGTGTCTTTGATTGTCTTAACAGCATTGTTACTGTTCATATATGTTTTCCTTTCCTGGCAGTTTATGTGTGTGAAGTTCAAAAACTCAATTTCTGTATTTTTATAATGCTGCTCCACTGTCTTTCTGTTTGATTCGTTTTTCAGGGTGTTTGCACAAGAAGTGAACTACAAACATTTTCTCCTAGGTCTTTTACTCAAAATTCAAACAGAGAAATTAATGCAGTTAAAAAAAGAAAATATGTATTCTTAGTGTTACATATTCTATCAGCAGAGTGGAATTCCAGTGTTTGAATTTCTGACAGGAAAAGCAAACAGTAGCAGAAGCAGTCTGCCTGGCATGGTTAGTCAAAAGGAGTTGGGAAGTCTGAGGCTGAGAGCAAAAACAGTTTCCATGTTATCTTTTTTTCCATTTTTCTCTTCCAATCTCCTCTTAATATTATCTCACTTCTATTGCTAAAGAAAATATTTTAAGTTTTCTTTTTTTTCTAAATTTGGCTTACTTATTCCCCTCAGGGTTACTTTAACAAACACGGGGTTGAGCCAAGATCATTATTTTGGGAAGGTTTTTTGTTGTTGATTCATACAGGCCCCTGTATACATCCTACTGTCCTATGTTAAATAGTGCAACTGGAGTGCTTAGAGAAGAGCTTAGACTGGGTAAGCTGAGGGTGACACCATGTAGTGTATTTCCAAAACCCTGTGGCAGGTGATTCTTTGTGGTCATATCAAAATATTGCTTTTGAGCACAGCATGTCTGGGATTATTTCACATGGAATACATAGAAGTCAGAAAATAGTAGTTGTCATAACTTTGAATGCAAAGCTTGATTTTATTTCTCTAATTGCTTATTCCTTTGTAGATCCCACATGCTTAAGAGTGGTGAAAATGTGGAAGATGTTCTAAATTATTATTTTGATGGTTAATGGACCATATGGATCATATCTTTGCATTGGCCATGGTCCTAGTCAGGGCCTCATGGTGCTATCAGATACTATTAAAAGCTATTTCTAAGTCCTAGGAGGCTTTTCCTGATGTAATGAAAATGACATATGGAGTGAACTCCTCCTTTAGTGGAAGTATGCCTTATAAATAGCCTAACAATAAGAAAGTAATGAAAAAAATCATTTATTTTGATGAAATAGTGGAAAGCAATATGGGTTATCAAAAAAAAATCTTTGAAATGGAGAAATTTGTTCACAACATATTCATTAAAGCTTTTGCCTGCAGGGCAGTCAACAAAACAAGGCACAAAATCCAATGCACTGGAATTCCAGCCTTGAGGCCTGGTTACAGTACACTTACTGGCAACAGTCCTAACAGGGTGAAGACTATACTTATTCTGCTTCCTATTTGACACAAAATTTCTTGACTGTGGCAAAGCTGCTAGATTTAAATGAATTTTCCTGTAACACAGAGTAAAGTTTTCTTCTCAGCTACGCAAAGAGCTGCTGACATGTGCTGGGTATTACTCTTTAATGTTGTTAAATTCAACATAAAGTGTTACGTTGATGGAATATGCTGGTTCTGTGTGATTGACTGTCTCTTGGAAGAATTTAAGTGTGTAGCAGACCAAATTCCGTGATGAATATGCTCAGATAAGTTGGAAGGTATGTTTGTGAGAGGCTTTGCTTCTCTCCTTAAAAAAAAAAAGATAAAAAAGAGAGGGTGAGAAAGAATAAAAATCAGTGAAAGTCAGTTAAAATGGTTGCCTTGCATAAGAGCTGTGAAGGTCAAGCTGAAGTGAATAAAGCAAGGTAGGTGCACACAGAGCAGATACTCTCTTCTTTGCTGGCCCTTTGTTATAGTCTGCAACATATTTGAGTATTCTTGCCTCGCTATGAGGCTCATGAAACAGGGAGCTGACCTGAGCGTGGGTGAGAGCCAGATCAGATCCTTAACACAGTACTGCAGCATTACTTTTTCATTTAAAGCAGATTTCTTTTGAACTACTGTAAAAATCAGATTAATTGGCTGGAAGTTTTATTCACCTAGGGAATCAGTTTTGCAATTTTGCTATGTTGCCAGGGTTATGAGTGGCACACCTGATTTTTTATAACGGAGGAAATTGTGGTTGACCTCAGAGGCTGAGTGCTGCACTAACTCTAGCTATGTGCTACACCAACTCTAGCTGTGTGCTGCACCACCATAGTGTGGTCACTGTTGAGGCACACTGGAACTTTCTTTTATGGTTCTGTTCTGCCAAAATTTACAGATATCAGAGTTTAGGGACCTGGTATGGGTATGTAATTTCAGGAAAGTATTCAGTCTTGAAGTAGACCTGGCCAGTAACCAGAGGAGAATTTTCCTTTGACTTGAGGTGTTAAATTGGGTCCAAATGAATAACAGGAGGGGATGGGTTATATCACATTAACGTATGTGATCATGCAGGTTGACACAACCTTATGTAAGGACTTGTTCTTATTTTGATTTTATCATTGATAATTGCGATTGAATATTAATTGATCAGTCGAAAGAAGAAAGAGGAGCCAGAAGAAACAAAACACCTGGAAAAGCAAAATATAAAGATAACACAGATAGAACTACATTACATTAACAAAAAAAATTGAGTCTCCAAAGTCAATACTGTTGCTGATATATTATTTTTTCAGTGCATTCTTCATATTTAAAAATGTTTTATACTGTATTACTTTCTCTTACCTGAAGGAACAATTAGATGATTAATTACATTGGTTATTGGATTTTTCATGCAGAGAAATGAGGGCAACCTAAGAAATGACTTGCTTTGTTTCTTAATGATGTATATCCAGAGTAACCACCTGTTTGTGAGAGGCTGTAGCTCTTACAGGTTGTTTTTTTCCCCTCTAGCAGTCTCGAGTTTTGCTGCTCTAAGCTGAGTACTTGAGATAACATTTTAATATTACTCTGCATGGTCAATTCAACTAATCAAAATAATAGGCAGCTGCAAAATACCATTGTTTCATGGAATCAGAGTGAACAAAGAAGTTTGATTAAAACAAAAAGAACAAAGGAAAATGCATTTTGAAAGTTATTCCTTGCTAGCAAATGTTCTCGTTTCTCCTGGTTTCTCATTTTGAGTTCACAATGAAATGACCTGTGGCAGTCGCAAGAAATGTTTAGGGTATAATGGTAGTGAACAAACAGTGGAAGGCAACATTAGCAGGGCTTGGGTCTCCCTGGTTTGCTCCCATCTCTGCAATTGTTTTCTCTCATGTTTTGACCTTCCAAATCTCATCCTAATCCAAGATTAAGTGATATTTTATATATATGTGTGTAAAAGTAAGA